GCTAATTCTATGGTCACGTTATTATTACATACTGCGTCATGCTGTTTATTTGTAGTTTATCTCATTATATGTTTAATTTGTTATCTGACAGTTGAGCATTCATTTGTGATGACTATTTAGTCAGTTATTGATAACTTGTGAGGTAATTTGTGTACAGATATATTGTATTCAAACTGTATTCCTTTATTTATATATTCTACAGACCACAACATAATATGATTGCATCATATAACTCTCCTTACCATCCTGAGACTGTAAATGGATGTCACTTACTGCCTGACGAATATCATTAAAGAGAAGTTTGATGAAGATATACTTCTCCTGTGCCTGATTCTCTTACCGGAATCACTGTCCATATTCGTCCGCCTACAGAACTGTAAATTCTCAAACGTTGCTAGAAGTGCTACTCTGCAATAGTTTTGCTTCCACTCCTCCGTGAGAGATGCGAGACTGGAGCGTCTCACGCCACCGGCCTCCCGCCGTTCTCTCACGTCTCTCGGCCTCGTCCTGCTCGCCACACGCTCAAAACTCTCAAAACGTGACGCCGATGGATTTGACATTCCTTACAGTTGAGAGAAGCCAGCTTCCATTGAAATTGAATGACTTCCGGCCTCTTTGGAACTTAAGCTCAAGTCGGCGGCGAGTACAGTTACAATAACAAAGGCGTAGGTTAATAAAGCATAAGTGGAATTATGGAAGTTGTCGTCATGCTGATTGATCTAATGTTTATGGATGAGTGAAAACATGCATGTTTTTTAACATGACCGTGATTTGAAGCAGGTCGCGAGTGTGAGGATAATGGATTATGATCAATGACTTGGAAATTAAATAACATGCAATCTCAATGAACTTTTCTCAGCAAATGTTAATTTATGATTTACACGCGGTGTGGAGAACGAATGGACGGGTACACTTATTTGCATTCCTTTATCAAACTAGGGCCCGCGGGCCAAAGGTGGCCCGTGGTATCCTTTGATTTGGCCCGCCATACCGTCCGGGGAGAGGGGATTTCTTTAAAATGCAAAACTTTACAAATAAAACTGCATTAGTTAATCAGATTGAAGTTGTTTTATGTTTATTTGAAATATTATAAAATAAATAAACCCATAGCAACTTTAATGTAATACCGTTTGATTTATGATGCAAAATTTACTTTTGGCCCACGGCCCACAATCAAGTTTGATTTTTGGCCCTTCGTAGGAAAAAGTTTGGGCACCCCTTTTGTTTCTTTGTTTTTTCACTCTGTCATTCCCCCTTTTCTTTTATTGCATAAATTTATAGCTACACAAAGTCTTCTGTTGATGAACCCAAAAATGAGGAACATCACAACAAGCAATTAATCATACGAGAGAGAACAATACTTTCAGAGCAATTCCAAGTTTTCAGGAGTACAAATGCACATGCAAGAGGTCAAGTGACCATTGAAAAAGTAAAAAAAGAGAGAATAAGAAATTTTTAAATGATCAGTAATAATTAATAGAATTTTTTTTGTGATTAACATGCGGTTCGCAAATAGTGTATAAACATACATGTGAATGCAGGGCAGGGCTTTAATGTAGCATATTCTCTTACGCTGCTCTCCGTATTCCCTCCCCTCCAGGTTTTACTGTATAATTTTGACAATATTTGCTGGTCTTTGTATCTGCTGCAGGAGAAGAATACAGACCACAATGCAGTCATCCCCAAAATCAAAGCCTGCATTTTAGAGACGTTATTAAGAAGACATCAGATCTTATTCAAGTAAGTCTTGCTGAATGTAGTTTTTGTGTCAATGTTCCACTTTGTGTCTTTGAAGCCCTTGTGTGCTGCTATTTAGCATCAGCTTAATGTTAAATGTTCCTGTTCAAGTCTGATTAATGGCATGTTTGCATGATTTTTTTTATAAGAACCCTACATTTCTGGAGGTGAAAAATTAAGTCTGCATATAGCGCCCCACAAATGGAAGTCATTAAAATAATGAGAGCATGAATTAAGCATGTAATTCCTCCTGAAAAAAAAAAAAAAAAAATCAGCATTGCTGGATGTTTTGCATGCTGGTTGCATGTGCCCAAAGTGGGAATGTCGGTGGACCAGACCTATACAGCTCTCACCGACATAAACCAGTCTGAATCATGGAATTCATAATGGTTTGCTTGATTTTTCATTAGAGATACAAACCCCTTCCACTCCACCACCACCACTACGATTCCCAAGGCTCAGTCCTTGCTATTCATCATCTCACTCATTTTACACACCTACTTAAACACTGCAAAGTTTGTACATTACGTTGCCAAATTGACCAATTGAAACCTTACTGAAGATGTCAGACTTCTAATTCGCATGAATATGTACATTTATATCAGCATTTTTATCTCATATGTCGATTTATGGCATTTACTTAAGTTGCCTTTCTGATTCTCTCTTCATTGCACAAAAAAGTACCAAAAGAAACACAGTAAGAGAGAGGAGAGAGTAGCAGACTGCATGGCTGCATGCACGTAAGTGGGTTTGAAATAGGCTGGATAACCTTTCAGAGTTTCCAGACAAACATGTTATATCTTTTAACTGATTTTCTTGAATACAGTGTAGGAATTTGGGGAGGTTTCCGTTATTTCTCATGGTTGAAAGGTCTTGTTAGGTGGAGTCGGTCTCTCTCTCTCTGTTTTTCACATGGCTTAGGAATTCTAATTGTACAATAAGTTTAGCTTGGAATGTCTGGAAATACTGTCCGACCCTTGGGAGACGGAGAGGGGAAATTATCATTATATTTCTCCCAACTAATGAATTTCACAGATATAAGTATTCCCATGGCAAGAACCAGAAATATGTAGAATTCCTTAAATGCGACGGTTTCTGTTTTGGGTGTGCCTTGGTGCCTCAGGTTAGTAGTTAGTCTGAAGATATTTTTCTTTTCAAACAGCACATCATCAATCTGTCTTTAAAGAGGTCACGGTGAGTGTCTTCCAGTCAATGATGTGCATTAATGCAAAATATGTTCATATATTACAGCGCTCATAAAACTCTCATGGTTTATTATTATCCTCAAGCAATGGTTTCTGCAGGTTGATCCTAACCTGTGGCTAAGCTTACAAATGATTACAAAATGTCATTTTTAAAATATTTTTATTTATTGGATTAAAGAGTAGAATAAAACTCTATAGGCATTGTTCATTAAATTATTAAAATGACTGTATGTGTAGACCTGAAATGGAAGAGTGAGATAAGGGAGATAATCAGATTAGAGCTCTACATTTTTTGAGAAATCTGTGTTATTTCAACTTCAGGCCTTTTTTATTTATTAAACATTTCAATCAGGTTTTAAAGCACATCATGGGATATAATCTTTAATGACATCTTTCTCGCTACAGATTCTGGAAAAGATCTGGATCTGGTCCTATTAGTCTTTGATTTGATTGACCATAACATTCTCCTCTGTTGTGGTGTACCACATGGCTCTATTCTAGGTCCTATATTATTTCTTTATATATTCTGCCTTTAGGCTCTATTTAAAAAAATAAAATAAAATAAAATAAAATTTTCTTCCACTGTTCTGCAGAAAATACCCAGATCTATTTTCCGATAAATCGCAATGATACACATGCCTTACGGCTGCCATAAGCTTGCGTAGAAAAACTCAACTTATGGCTTACACAACATGTTATGAACTGTAGGAGCCATACTTACCACCTTATTTAATTTGTATTAATTTTTTCATTTAAATATCAGTCAATTGTGTATTGTTAATTGTGTTTATTTCTCTGAGTGTGTGCCCTCTATAGGTGAGAGGGGGGAAAGTTGTATAAATGATAGGCCACCCCTGACAGGAGGGGGGCGCTGGTGCAAGAGCACACAGTCTTTTGACCGTGCACATGGAGCGAGAGTGGCATGGTGCCACAAACCAGCAATTGGCCTAAAAGTTATTTGTTTTGTTTTATGTTACAATGCATCTTTATTTTTGATTTAATAAACTTCAGTTATTTGTTTGGAACATCAACACGCCTCTCTGGATCAATTCATGGTACTTTGCACGCGTCAGAAATAAAGCATCAGCATCTCCCACAGTGGACCAGAAACTTGTTTTCACCCCTACAAAATGTCAAAAGACTTGCTTTGAAAATGGAATATGTTTGAGAAAAGGAGGATTCTCTTAAACTTGAAGACCACATGTTTGAAGACCGCATGGCATTGGAAGCAGAGAACAAAGGAAACTTCTCAAAGAGGTATGTGCTTGCGGAAACAATTATGTGCTGAGTTACATTTGAATGTTATTGGAAAGACTTTGAAGTTTGATGCTGAAAAGTGTGGATGAAAGGATTCATTTGATGAAGGAGTTCAAAGGTATTGATGTATGCCATTTTAAAGAGGAATCAAGGGAAATTTGAGTTTGTGTCTTTGGAAAGAGGATATTTACTTGTTTGAGACCAAATGGAGGGCAAGTCTTGTTTAGAAGAATCCCCAAACTCAGCTCAAGGAGATTTGAATGAGGTTGCTGCTCGTTTGAAACCCTCTAGAGCAGGCAAGATGGCACACCTTACGAGACGAATCAATATTGTTAACTCTTTGATGACTGATGCTGAGTATCTTGAAGAAGTAAAGGGAAACATGATGAAGTTCAATGAAATGTTTGTTGAATTCAAGTCTCTTCAAGAATCATATGTGTTAAGTGAAGAGGATAAAGTTGAAGATCTGAAAACCTGGTATGAACCAAGAATGAAACAAGTTGATCTGTTTGTTTCTACTGTTGAGAAGTGGATGTCCACTATTCAAGAACCAGACTCACAAACTAGAACTCAAGTTCCTTCTGCTCTAAAAGTGACTGACCAGCTAAATAATGATGATGGCACTTCAGTTGTTTCTTCTGTGTGTAGCAGTAGATCTGGCAGATCTAGCAGATCAAGTGCGTCATCTTCAGCCTCAGCTCGTATCTGTGCAGAGGCAGAAAGGGCAGCTTTACTTGCCAATGCACTGCAACATAAACATGCTCTAGAGAAGATGAAGGAGGTGTGGGAAGTTCAAGCTGAAATTGCAGCCAACACCGCAAAAATCGAGTATCTCAAGAATGCTGAGACGTCGGTAACCAATGGAAATGCTGTTGAAGATGATGCCATGAATGTATATTGTAAGGAGATGTTGGATAAAACTTCAGTACAACAAGATGTGCGCCCAAAAGAGACTCTTCATGAACTCTCTAAAGCACCAACTCAGACTGCAAGACATTCTTATCCTCAGAACAGCAATGTAATTCAGCAATGTAATTCGAAATCATCTGCACAAATCTCTCATACAGCTCAAGCAAGACCTCTAGAAAGTAGATCTTCATCTAATGTTATTCAAGGGCCTGGTCTTTCTAGAATTCTTCAAAAACAGAACAACTTGACAGATATGCTTGTGAAACAACAACTTCTTTCCACCTTACCAAGAGGGGAAATTCCAACGTTTAGTGGAGAAATTCTGCAGCACATTCCTTCATTCTTTTGAGCACATCATTGAAAGTAAAACTGATGATAATGAAGACAGGCTGCACTTTCTCATTCAATACACAAGGGGGCTACCACAGGAGCTGGTTGCCAACATGTCACCGAACCAAGGTTACCAAAAGGCAAAGCAGCTATTGAAAGAACACTTTGGTAATGCATATAAGATTTCTTGTGCTTATATCGAGAAAGCTCTTTTCTGGCCTTCAATCAAACCAGAAGATCCAAAGGCTTTACAGGCATTTGCATTGTTTCTTAGAAGCTGCTGCAATAGTATGGAAGACTTGGAGTTCATGGAAGAACTGGACACAGTCTCCAATATGAGGAGTATTGCATTCAAGCTTCCATACAGAGGTGGCGCACAAAGGCATTTGAGTTGCAAGAACAGAGGAGGAACAAGGTAAAGATGGTAGATCTTGTCTGCTTCATTGAAAAACAAGCTAACATCGTCTCAGACTCAATATTTGGTGATATCCAAGACTCAAGCCAATGCTTAACTCAATACTTAACAAGAGTATTGTCAACTGAAATCAGGCTGTTTTTACCAAATAAACAATGAACTCGATCTTAATCTGGGCTTTCTTGCCCCATTTAGTACTTTGTATGACAGGAAAGTTGTTCCGTTTGACATTAGCCTTAAATTTGATAAACAAATAAGCGCTGTTATTAAATTCTGTTTTAATCATCTTCATTTCTTGGCTAAAGTAAAGCCCTTCCTGTCCTTGAGCAATTTCGAAACGATGATTCATGCTTTTGTTTCCTCACGCCTCGATTACTGTAACTCTCTCTATTTTGGAATTTCTTATTTTTCCGTCTCTCGTGTTCTTGTCCAAAATGCTGCTGCCAGACTGGTAACGTTGACGTAGGTTAAACGTTGGTGAAACGTAAGTTTGACGACATCACACTAGTCCTGATTTTTTCCCTTTCACAAGGGAGCATTTCAAAGTGTACCAAAATGTGTTTCTGCAAGTCACATATGAGTAAAACTGTCCTCTTATTGGTTTTCTCTGCGTCATCCATCAAGATGGATTGACATATTCGCTCTGCGATACTATTGTGGCTTTTCCGCAGCTGTCAATAACACTTCATGCCCTGTCAAACTGATAAGCTTTTGGTTCGCAACTGCAATAACTAAAGTGCTCACTAACAAACTCAGACACTGCTGCTTTTATAGAACACATTTCACGTTATGAATTATGATGCCGCTTGGTTGGTTTGGTCGGGTTGCTTTCTCACCTTAAGCGAACCACCCCAGAGTTTGTTTTCAATCGGGCCGAAACCACCTCATTCAGGCGAGTGATTGTTTTGGTTTGGATTCGAGTGCGTTTGTCGTGTTCATCTATACCTAAACGAATCGAGAAAATGCACCAGGTTCAGAAACAAACACTCCAAACGAGCCTAGTGTGAAAACACCCAAAACCCAACTTAAAACTCATTTATTTTCGCTGGTTGTTAATTTGGTACAATTTTTAAACCCAACGGTTGGGTTTGTCCATATTTTATCCAACCATGGGTTAAAACAACCCAGCATTTCATCAACCCAGTGTATAATCTTTTTAAGCTTACAATGATTTTAGGAGAAAGAGCCTTGAATGGTAGTGTTAGTTTTAGATCTACTTTGCTTTGTTCTAGACCACCAGAGCACTATCCTAACTTATCTATTGGAGTCTTTCTAGTGCTCGTATTTTCACTCAGAATCGACATCAAAGTCATCACTTCCATGACCATGACAGACTTTAAAGGCATGTTGTTACGTGATATACATTGTCTTTCCAATTCTTGTCTTGCCTCAGTTCTTGAGGGTGAAACAGAGCTTGATCTATAAATATCTTGGTATGCTTGTTGGCGAGCGCTCTGTTTTTTTTGTTTTTTTTAATTTGCTTCTTGTTGTACCATTAAGCGGCTGCTGTGCATTTGTTTATATTTCAGTTATTAACTGAAATCAGTTATTTCAGTGATTAAACTGCAGCTGTTCTGATTTGCAGTGTTGAAATTATTTAGACGTTTTTTTCTTTTCCGCTCTTTGTTCAGTGGCGAGCTGCGTGCTGTGGACTCCCCTATGGATCATTATCTTGTTTGGGATCTAAGTGCTCTTTCAGATCCTTATCCTAGCTGTATGGCTTTATGCCATTGGCATTTCACGAAGACCTCCTTGTACGTTAGACTGCGATACTCCCGATGTGTGCTAACTCTTCAGAACATGAAGTTAAAAGGGTGGTGATGGCTGTTACTCTGACTCCCAAGTAAAATAAGCTGAAGACCCTTTTTGTTGGTGCACTGGGTGGATCCGCCGGCTGAAGGTTTAGGCCAAATTCAGGCACTTTCGACTTATATGAAGCAGCATAATGAAAGGAAGCATTTAACAAAAACATAATATGCTTCTGCATGGAGAATTATGTGGTTTCAGTGTCTCCATCAGACTCTATTTTTGATGCACCATTGTAAGTTAAGCATCAATGCATTCAAATAGTGGACTCTTTGCCAAGACTTTTTAGGGCCAATCCCAATTCTACCCCTTACCCCTTCACTTTCCCCTTCCCCTCCGTTTTGCGCGTCCACGTGAAGGGGTAGGGCTGTCCCAATTCTCTTTTGGTTGGAGGGGGAGGGCTAGGGTGAAGGGCCAGATAGCCCTTCAAACGAAGATTTTTCGGGAGCACACTTCAAACGAAGGGGTATGAGAAGTGTCACTGCTAACCCAGGCTGGCTGCCCAAGCGACAAAGGAGACCCATAAATGTAAGTATTTGTGGCTTTAATAAGTATTATAACGACAAATAATGATTTGCTTTATGTTACATTCAATATTGTGTTCATATTTACGGTCAGTTTCTTCACAGAAACGTTTGTAAAAAAAATCGCTAAAATTACTGTAGTTTGCTAACGATAGTCCCGCAACATATTTTCGTCGTCTCCGTTGTTTCCTGCGAACTTCACAAGATGCAAGAAAATAGCTGTAACCCACGCGACTGAGATAACTGCAGCTGTCGACGGCATCTTGGAAGTTGTGATAAACATCGGCGCATCTCCTGTGACGTAGGCGCTAGCGACGACTTATAATGACGTTTAACGGAGGCGTAGTGGTGTCCCATTTCTTAGGGGAATATTTTCACCCCTACGTATTGCCACTCTGTTTCAAGGGTCAAGGGGAAGGCGAAGGGGTAGGGGGTAGAATTGGGATTGGCCCTAAGTAGGATTCTAACCTGTTTTCCATTGCTTCTGGTCAGGTTTATGATTTAGTTGTCCCACAGTGTGGATACTTCATTAAAGAATTATCATTTGGCTTCAAGTTCTCGTTGACCATGCAGCCTGATAAGGCAACTTGCTTGTTGTTTAGTAAGACAGACGAAGGGTCAATTCGGTTCATTGCTACTGGAAGAAATTACAGTGGCATGCAGTGCTGGGGCCAATTTCGGTGAATCTTTAATGCATTGACACAGTTGCTGTTTCCACTCAACACTTTACTAGCACTATATCGTCAGACTATTCAGCATGTGCCAAAATATTACAAGCTTCACTGCAAACGATCGGGTTATCTCCATCAGACTGTGGGTCTTCTGACACAGCTGCAGAATGAAAATGTGTGTGTCCCAGACTCCTTTCCCAGAATCTAGAGAGAAACATTTGACAACATCCTCTTTGTTCCGGGACAGGTGTTTGGTGCAAAGTACTAGACAGACATCTCCTTATGTCTGAAATGCGTTCAAAGCATGTAAGGCGGAAAACCTTCTGCAATTGGCCTGTCACCAGGATTAACCCTTTATGACCTGCCATAGAACAGTTCCAGCAGAGTATATCTTTCTATTTTTACATGCTGTGCTGTCATTCTTTTGAGCATTTTCATATGCCATACATCAAAATAATCCTTACTTTCTCTACTTGAAGGCTATGTTTGTAATAAATCAATAGTACCTAGATAAATATCTCAAAAGTGCAATAAACAAAAAGAAATTCTACATATTTTATTCAATACAAAAAATGATAAATGTCAACCTCAAACTTGTCAATGAGAAAAATGTGCATAAAACAGTTTAAAACTATACAGAATTGATTTGAACTGTTTACATCAATTAGTTTTTAAGATGCACTCATTCAAAGAAAGGGAGTAAAATGCCATATGTAAAATATTCAATTACATTTGTGGTCAAACAGATAACATTTTGCTTTTGAATATTGATTGAACATTGAATTGGTTAGAATATAAAATAAATAGACCCTGTCAGAACAATTAATAATAAAATAAATAAATAAAGGCGGTGAGCAGACGGAACTCGGTACTTTCATTTTGACATAACGTTGCTCGCATGCACGCACGTGTGTGTGTGTGTGTGTGAATGTGTGTGTGTGAATGTGCTTGTATTTGCGAGTGTATAAATGAGAAAGAAATGATAGAATGAAGCAATGGTAAAAAGACAATAATGATAAGAAGGAACATATAGCAGATGGGAGCAAAGTGCGAGTCAAACCTATTGGATTATATGGGTCAAAGGCATGGCCAAAAGACGCAGCTTCTGACGTCACTACATGCGACACAAGCTGGGGTCATAGTGCACAGGAAGTGATGTCGTGATCCGTCCATGGATCCGTCATCGGAAGACGCAACTATCAATTGCAGATCTACAGAAAATGTGTGCAAAGACGTGCAATGCATTTTTGTGTGTTTTTTTGGAAACGCATTATTACAGACTCATTAGAGGGTGAGCATGTTGAGGCTTGATCTGCCATGTGCACCGAACGTGATACCTCAATGCGCCATCGGAAGGCGTTACTATCAATCGCAGATCTACAGATCATATGTGCAAAGACGTGCAATGCATTTTTGTGATTTTTTTTTTTTTTTGAGAAACGCATTTTGCGCATTTTGTACAGACTCATTAGAGCAGGGCTATTCAATTGGCGGCCCGCGGGCCAAGTGCGGCCCGCCAATCATCTCCATGCGGCCCGAAAGCACTCCAACCTCCCCCTCCTATTTTCTGGTGGTGTGGCTAAATTTGGTTTGATTTGCGCGTGGCCGCAGTGGCGCGTGCAGCTGGATGACTATACGCACTGTGTGTGTACCATGAGCGCTCCGACTGACCTGAGAGAAACGTTTTCAGTCCGAATATTTCAGCAGTGCGTCCCGTATTTCTGTCGACTGAACCAGCGATATTAATCATTCGTTGGATCGATTCCTATTTCCTTTTCATAAATTGGCCAAACGTGCGTGCATAACGGTCGGAAACGATTCGGATTCGTTCGGACCTTTCTGTCACTGAATCATCTTAAGCGGTTTCTCGGTCAGTAAGAACAAATAGAGAACAAAATAGTGCTGGTTTCAGTTGTTTCACTAGTTTACTTTGAACTAGGCAGCACGGTCCAGTGGATAACGGAACGCAAGCTTAAAGGAGTTGCGTTTACTCCCGGTC